ATCCGTGCGCGTGCTCGTTTCGTCCCTGTGCAAGGCTGAAGAAGCAGCTGCCCGTTGTCAGGCAGACGCTGCGAAAGAAGCAGGCGACAAAGGTGAAGATGCGGAAGATCCTTCTTCGAAGATGTCTGATGACCCGGTCTTTGCAAGCTTGCAACACAGATTGAAGCTTGAACCTTGTTTGCAGTAGGGTTTGTTGCAGCTGTGTCCCACTGTACTGCTCACCCATGGCATGACTGGTTCTGATTGAGTCTGCAAGATTCTGAGGGAGTTTTGTCCGTGGGGTCGGAGCAACTCAATGGGCATATCAGCAATGATGAGATGACTGCGAATGAAAGGAAGATGCAGGACCTTGTAGCGGCTGATGGGTACTTGAACTGATGGATACTTGAAGGAGTGTCTCCTGGAGATGTCCAACACCTCTTTGATGTCGCTCGACCGTGTCCGAGCACTTCGGACACGCACCGAGCTCCTCGGCAGTGTCGAAGCTGTCGAGGAAAGCTTCACATCGGCGACGAATGGCATGAATTTCTTGCAGCAGATCGCCGGGTCTTTGAAGACGATCGTGAACCAACACGTTTCGGCGGCCCAAGCCCTGAAGAAAGCTCGGCAGCAAGAATCCGAGACACATCGGAAAGAACTGGATAGACAAGCGAAGGAAAAAAAACGGGAACTAGAAAAAGAGGCTAAACTGCAGAAAAAGCTTGCCGATGGCAAGAACGAGCCGTCCCCAGCGGGCGGTTGCGGAGCAGGATCGGATGCCAAGCGCCGCCGTTTGTTTCCGTCCGCCTTCACTGAGCACGACCCAGTGGTGTTGACAGCGCAGGGCTGGTCGGAACGACAGGTGACTGTCGTGGAGAACTACGCACCTCGCCTTCAGGTCACGAGTGCGACAGTGGCCGTGAATTGTTGCTTAGATCCAGAGTCCCGAGGCAGCTGCTGTGAGCAGGGTCTTGGAAGGTGAGAATGTCATCATTCGCTGCCGGAGGGCAAACGTCAAGAAAGCTATGGAGGTTGCTTGACGTCCCGTTAATCACGCTGCTGCTGTTGCATTTCGGGAGCCACCTGATTCGCCTAAATCCTTGAAGCAACTAAGTTCAACGCGCGCCTCACGGATGCGTTGGAAAGCAAAGACATAGGGCTGCTCAACAAAGAGGGCTTGTCGGACATAAAAGTCTTTTTGGGAGAACTACCGCAGCTGTTCGAGGCCAGTTATTGCGTACAGAACACCTCAGAACTGCTCAGAGCCTATGTGTTTGTGTTGTCGTCTGAGGACACCGAGAAGCCCCGGCATGCAAAGCTCTTGGAAAGTGACTCTCTTGCTACTGCTGCCATGCACATGTGTCTGCGTGACCAGCTTCGGGACAACTATGAGCGTTACTACATGGAGGCGTCACGTGGCACAATGTTTGTATGGGTAGGGTTCTGTTGTACAAGTGTGACTGCTGCCGCTCTGCCTCCACAGGATCATGCTCTACGACCACGCACTGGTGTGGTGCTCGACTTCCACGGCCTGAAGGAAAAGCTTGGTTCGCAGGGCAGCCAAAGGGCTGAGGCTGAGGACACTGAGGACCCACACGCGACGGCCAAGGAAACGAGTGCCGCATGAACGTGCAATCGTGGTATTAGGCTCCACTTCCGTGCGGTCCTGTTCTCTTGTGTTCAAGTATGCAGGAGTGCCTTCAAAAACTGACGACGGTGCACCTGATCGGAGAGCAGGTGGACAAGGTTCACCAGCACACGATGCCCGGAGGAATGGGTGCGATTCTCTTCCAGGCAGCTGCAGGGATCTCAAGTAAGCCGCCAAGGGTTTGTGAGTCACGTCAGGAGTGTGAGGACAGTCATGTGTTAGTTGTCAGTTGTCAGTGTCAGTCATGAGTCATGAGTGGTGGCTGAGCAACAGAGTGATGTGAGTGGTGTCGTTCTGTTACAGCATGTGCAACAAAGTCTGAGTACCTGAGGCGCTTGGTTGCAAGCGTTTCAGCGTCGCCAGTGTTCTGGACTTGATGAAGCTGCCTCCTGTTGACATGAAAGACAAATTGGATGCATTCACGAAGCTGACGCCAGAAGTTGCGGCCAAGCACGATCTGAATGTGTTGGCCGGAGCCCTCCTGCCAGGCATTTGGATATGGTGTTGCGAGCCTTTGCCTTTGTAACTTCATGAGTTGCTTTACAAACCGGCATGCTGCGCAGGTGACGCCCTGGTGCTGCAGCCTGGCCAGATCCTGGTGACGAAGACGCACAACGAAACAAACATATCAGCAAGGCTGGGCATCGGGTACGTGCATGCGATGGAGCCACTGGAGGCTATGAATGCCTTGGTGCACCCAGGTCTGCACTAGTTCCAGTCCTTTCGCATGGCTAGCCAGTAGCACCATGGCTGCGTGGTTGAGTGGTTCTTCTGTGCTGCATGAAGGCAAGGGCCGGAGCAATCGGGCATGATCGATTTCCTCATTGCACATGCTCAAGAAGCATTTGCGGAGAAAGCCGCTTTTGTGCCTCCTCCTCAAGACGGTGATGATGGTTCAGCGAATGAGCTGGAGGAGCCAGATAATCCGAGTGACTTTTATCCAAAGTGTGCAAGCAGTGTAGCGGTGTTTTCCAGCTTTCCTTTGCAGGCAGGTAGTCTTTCTCACTGCACGCGTTCATCAGATTGTAGCTGTCTTATTGTCTGCGAACTGGCGAACTTATTTGCAGGGCCAAGATCAAGATGACGAAGACGACGGAGGTGGCCGAGATGATGATCGACTTACGTCTATTCTTGATGAGATTGAAGAGGATGTGGAAGAGGAGGCTGCAAAGAAGCTTCAGGCTCAGGCTTCTAAGGCCCACACGGGCCCAAATATATCTTTGCTGTTGCAAGGTTGAAGCCATGAAGTGCCAACAAGTAGCAAGTGTGAGCTGCAGATTTATTTGTAGGGTGTGTAGCAAGGCCTGGGGTCAGGGGTCCTGGAGTCCTGGGTTTTGGACGTTTTGGAGCAATAAATAGATCTGGCCTGGCCGGGCCGGTTGTTTGGCAGGACAAAGCTAGCAAGGCTGAAAAAGAAACGGAGGCACAGGCCGCAGAGGCCGAGCCGACGAAACAGAGTGAGGAGTTCCGTTAAACCGTTAAAGCCGTCAAAGTCAAAGCCTTGATTTAGCAGGTTTCGCCAGGTTAAACCCTACAGCCTACAGCCTACAGCCCTAAACCCTAAGCCTAAACCCTACAACTACAACCCCTAAACCCCCCTAGAACCCAAATCCCAAGCCCTAGACTTTGCACGCTAATTGTCTTTCTAGGATTCTAGGATATGTGCCATGATGTGTGCCGTGTGTTGTGCTGCGCTGTAACGTGTTGTGGGTCGGGGATCTGGGCAGTCTGGGCGTCTGGGTTTGATTTGAGTCTGGGTATGGGTCTCTGGGTTCTTTCGACAATGCAGAGCTCGATTTTATCAGCGTGCGGTTGCATGGTGTGGCAGGACACAGGGGAGGAAGATAAAGATCCAAAGTCACAGGTCGCAGAGGCTGAGCCGGCAGAGCACAAGGAGACAAAGGTGCCATGATGTGTGCCGTGTGTTGTGCTGCGCTGTAACGTGTTGTGGGTCGGGGATCTAGGCCGTCTGGGCGTCTGGGTTTGATTTGAGTCTGGGTATGGGTCTCTGGGTTCTTTCGACAATGCAGAGCTCGATTTTATCAGCGTGCGGTTGCATGGTGTGGCAGGAC